ACCCAGCCCAGTCTAAACACACGTCAAAAACAGAGTAACCTCCCTGTCACCAGCGAGTTAAGGGCTCATCAGGGGGCAGGATCTGCTCTGCCTTCACTGCCATTTGCTTCCTCTCCTGATGTCCACCCAGCCACGTGCCTGCAAAGAAATCTCCTTCTTCACCTCCACAGGGCGCCCTTCCGGACACGTGATATGGAGCCTCCATCCTGCCGTCAAGGCCCTTGATCGTGGGGCGTTTTGCCATGGCCTGCTGCTGCTTCCTCCACCGCGTCGGGTTCACAGTCGCTCATCTGTTCTCACGACACGGCGCCTGCCTGAGCCAGAAAAGTAGGAGAGCTTCTCAAGGCGTGATCAGAGTCGAAGTGACAGGAGACCGAAATAGCTGTGGCTGAAGGGGAGTTTTCTGCGCACGTCTTCCTGCCAGGCTAATCTTATCTCATTTTTTTTGATTGGGTAACCTCCCCGGTAGAGAGTGGAAATGCAGGAGATGTAATATATCTTGACTTCAGCGGAGCTTTTGGCAAAGTGCCCCATGGCATTCTGATTAGCAAGCTAACTAGGTGTGGGCTGGACGGAACAACTGACAGCCGGACAGACAGTTGGCTACAGAATCCTACTCAGAGGATGCTTCTCAATGGCTTCTTCTCCAAATGGGAGGAGGTAACAAGTGGGGTACCCCAAGGCTCAATCCTGTGTCCTCTTCAACATTTTTATTAGTGACTTGGATGAGGGAGTGCAGGGAATACTTGTCATTGTAGGAAGGCTCTTGGAACTGACGTAGATCACGTTGAATACAGTATGAATCGACGCATGCAGCTGCAAAAAAAGAGGCAAATGCTATTTTAAGATGCATTTACAGTATAGTCTCCAAATCTTGTGAAGTACTAATTCCCCTGTATTTGCCACTGGTTAGGCCTTATCGTGAATACTGTGTCCAGTTGTGAAGTTATGAAGGATGCCGACAGACCGGAATAAGTTTAGAGGAAGGCAACAAGGATGATCAAGCGACTGGGAACCAAGCCCTATGAAGGAAAGACTGAAGGAACAGGGCCAGTTTAGCCTTGAGAAAAGACTGAGGGGAGACGTGATAGCCTTTTTTCCAATACTTGAAAGCCTGTCATACAGAAGAAGGGGCAGGATCTGTTCTTGATCATCTCAGAGTGCAGGGCACTTAATAATGGGCTCAAGTGACAGGAAGTCAGGTTTTGGTTTAATATCAAGAAATAAGTCCTAACTCAGGAGGTGGCCAGCGCTCCAACACTGGAGGCATTGAAGAGAAAATTAGATGACCATCTGTCCGATATCCTTGGTTTGGTTTCCTGCACTGAACAAGAAGGTTGGATTCCATAGCTTTACAGGCAGGGCCCCTCCAACGCTATTATTCAAGGAGCCTAGGATGCCTCTTCGGCTCACCCCATTCAAGTCAACAACAGCAAGAACCCCCCACGGGCTTCAGTGAAGTTGGATTCTTCTTTCCTCAATCACAGCAGTTGATTTCGGACGCGGGGCACCCAGGCTGATGCGGGGCAGTAAGGGTCCAGCGGAAGCCCATGGGGGTTTGCTTTGGAGCCTCAGCCTACAGAAAGATTCCCCCACCCACCCGTCACTTAAAGAGGATTTGTTGGCATTTTTTGAAAGTTTCCTGGCTGTCGGCAAACTCCCGTTGTCTTGCTTGTGGGTCTTTCTCGAAGGTCCTTTCCATCAAACCCCCACCCACTCCGTCCTTTTTCTTTTAGGAAACTCATGAAAAACAGCTGCTTTACCGCAGCTTACATCGATTTGCATGCACATTAAAGGGGGGGGGGAGAGAAAGCAAATACTGCCCGGAAAGCTTCCGGCGAAGATACTCCGAGGTAGGGGACAAAAAGAACACCCTTCTCTCTTGTGAAGCACTTTCGGGTTCTGAATTAATTCGCCTTGAAACGCAAACGAGAATGCTCAATATAAACGGGGCTAACTAGATCCCGTTCCTTTCCCGTAAAAGAAACGGTGAGATGGGTTTCCTCGAGGCTGTGAATGGATCGCTGCCGCCGCCGCCGGGCGACCACCAAAGGTGGTCCTTTTG